TAGGGCTATAAGCTCTCTTACTATGTTGGAAGACATTTTTTATTATTAATTTATATTGGATTTCATATATGTTAAATATCTCAAACATGTATGTTAACAAAATTAGTTTTTTCAGTCTACATATGATAATGCGGATTGCAGTTCTGGAGTATGTGGAATAATATTTGGCTTTTAGTTTAAACCGTGGATAAATTTCTATAATTAAAATTATATATCTTAGGTCGGTTAAACTTTGACCCGACTTAAGACTCATATCTGTTAAGTCGGTGATAAACTACGTCTTAACATCTCATTACTTGTTACATCGCCAACTTTTAAGCCGGTTACGAAATCGACCTAACAACTAATTTTTATCCGATTTAACAAATGTTTTTTTGTACTAGTGCATCTGCAAGTTGAATCAATCAAAATCGAAAAATCACCTCGAAATTCTTCAAATTACCGGATCAAAATTTGAGTTCAAACAATCTTACAAATGAATTAGAAAATAATACTAATGTTAATTACTACTATAAGGCCTTGGTGAAAGTGGAAAAAAGGAGAGTCAAGTGAAATAAAAAAAATTCACTGACTGATCACAGCAGAACACGCTAAGCGGGCTACACCAGTAACTGAAAAACTAGGACAACAACTTGCAGTCCTAAAGCAACCTCCACTATCACCTACACTACTCTCATTTACACATCTAAACAACATTTACAACACATACACACTTCCACAAGTTAAACACGACAAGCTTGTGGAAAATCACAAAGAATAACAACATAAAATAACTAATATAAACATACTAAAAGAATGGGTGAAAATTGTCTAAACAAATCTAAAAGTGAAGATTTAAAATTTCAGAGCTGGTCCAATTTAAATTTGTTTAGACAATTACACAACGCTACCTAAACTAAACAAAAATAAAAAAGAATCAAAACATGCTTGTTTTACGTCGTAAGCTCGGCACATGTTATTTATAAACCAACACGTTGCTTTGAATGAGCCAAACGCTTTACTCCCGCCTTCGCTCTCATATCTTCGAGTTCTAACCGGAACTACACATCTAAACACACCTTTGACAAACGTGAAGAGAAACAAATATATACACTATATTCACAAGTATACAAAACATGTACAAATATACGATATAAACATATTTACGAAACTTAGAAAGCAAAATTATTACGATGTAGCTAATATCAACACCAATCCCCGGCAACAACGTCATTTTGTTGAAGCGGTAAAGCGGAAAGCAAAAGTAAGTAAGTATTTAGTTATATTGGTATTGTCTCCATAGGGATTAGTGAGAGGGAAAAACTACCGTTCAACAGTTTCAATCCTTATAAGTTTGGAAAAGGGGTTGGCAGGAAAAATGTAAGAAAAGTAAATAAACAATAAATATAGAAGGTAAACAATCATTGTAGCTTAAGAGAATTCATTTTGGAATCACATTTCATTCTACCCTTCAAATACTTAAATCTTAAGATCAATCACACTACACATACGATATGCATCCAAAATTACCTAGCATCATTCGAGACGCACCACAACAGAGGTTATGTCTAACGCAGAGTCACAGATAACCATATCACCCGTGTCGATGATTTCGCGTGCGGCACGAACAACACGAAGGCATTAAGCTCTGATACCCAAAAAGATAATCAGCTCTAAATCTATGTCTAGAATCTAGAAACTAATAGACATCCATCCCTAATCAAGATTCGTGAGGCATATGTCTATGACAACCCGAGTCCAAACATAAAGAAAAAGATCAGAGACAACATCGATAATGATTTGTAAAGCATATATAAATATGATCCCAAGATCAACAACTGTACATACAATAAGAGAAAAATATACATACAAATCCCACCATTGGAATGGGACACAGGGAAGAAGGAGAATAGGCGGAGACTTCTCGCGGTGTCAACCGGATCAGAGACAACCCACGACCTTACGACATGATGAACCATCCAATGATGTTGGGTAAACCTCTAAACTACAAAAATAGGATCATAGCTCAACCCTTTTCAAGAGAAGAGATGATAAAAAAACTAAAAAATTTGTTTCTAAACTATTTATACAAAATTGATCTCAGCAGACCGCGCTTAGCGGGCGCACCGTGCTAAATGGGATGCACTTATTTAACACACTAAAATGCCCTAAACCGCACTAAACGGGCTCAAAAAATCACTTATGTCAAATTTGTCAAAACTGTGCATAGTACGCTAGAGGATGCGCTTAGCGCAGTCCCCTGAGAGGAACTTCTCAAAACTAGGTCTTTTATTTCGAAAACACGCATTTGGAGTTGTGTCTTCGACACCTTATTCCTCGATGCTCCAAATATGCAACAAATACCTACAGAAGAAGTAAAATATATCAAATGGTACACAAATGAATAAAAAACTTAATTATGTAGAAACTAAACGTACTTACACAAAATTCAGGTTATTCAACTGATATTAACAACAAATAGTTGATAAGTTAAACAAAAAGTATATACAAAAATAACTACAATTTGCACTTATCACCTACGTAAGAGTATAAGACTTGGGGACACCTCAGGCCATATTTCACCTTTAGGAACCACTCTTTAAAACCCTTATAGTTAGAGGTATACACCTGAAGAAATTTTTTGTGAGGAAGACCATTCACTTGGATCCATGAAAGCTTCTCGACCCCTTTTACCTCGTAAAAGAAGAAGAACAGACCGAATATAGGGATGGTGTTCATCACCTCACATACTATCTCAAAGGCCTTTAAGAAGCCTCATCTGTTAGGGCGAAGTTCGAAGGAGCAACATTCATGGCCTCTAATACGCCGGCCTCGAACTCGGAAAAGGGTATACGGACTCTGAAAACCTCTAAGACCCCAACATAAAAGTAAAAGAAATCTTCACCAGTGTTCTTCTGACAAAGTACACATACCCCTGAGACACACGATTCCAGGATAACATTGTTTTCCTCCCAGTCGAGGAGACCTTTATCAAAGACCTAAGTTTGGAAATCTCCATTTCGTCAAGCACACTATTCTTGTATCCCATAACTTCAAGGTCAACTGGGGCAAATGCTTCCATCCGAAATTATACAGAACTTGAGGAGGAAGAACCATGGTTAGAATCACTCAAAGAAGAGGGGGTAAAACCATAAACCTCCATTCTGACCTAATTAAACTCCTCCTTACCTAAAGCACCTTTCATCTCTCGCACGCATTGGTTCCATAACTCTTTCCTCTCTTTGGCATTAGAGGGGTTTACAACATTTCCCTCATCGTCAAACTCTCTCAGGATAACCATAATCTAAAAAGGTAAAACGGAAAAGAAAGAGTAAGAGGAAAGTACCTGGAAAAATGAGAAAAGCTTGAGGGCGATTGAACGCTCTCTGGAAAGATATAACGCCTTATGGAAGTACCAAAGATAGAAAGGGAAAGAAGAGGGTAGGGTTTTAATAGAGCCCAATAAACAGTGCACTAGGTGAAGGAAGCGTCACCCAATAGAAAGAGGTTTAGGTGGAAGTCATCATTACTCTAGGAAAGAGAAAGTGACGATTCTTTACTCTGTTCCATGTAGGCACATGTAGAGAAGAAACTTGACACCGCCTTCATTACCTTCCATGACTACGTGATCGAACACGACATCCTTACAAAAAGGATTCGAATTTGGGGGGCTTATGTACATCCCGGAAATACCAGACCCCACCAGGTAGTATAACCGGAAGAAAAGAAGACTAAACCAGTAGCCGGCTCAACGGTGAAGATACCCGGGATGCAGCCCGACTGAAGAATACCAAACGACTTACACTTGAGAAGCAACCCGTAAAACATCCTGGACCTAGTTAAGGATGGTGGCCGAGACCCACATGTCCTTAACCGATAACCAACTAGTCTTTTTAATGCATGTAATCTCCAACGGCAAACTTATTACAACGCTACATAGCTTTTATCATCTTCATTCATGGAAATAGTGGGGATTATAGAGTTATGGTACTTAAGAGACACTCATTAACCGAGGCTTTTGATGACACATAAGAGAACAACTATAAAAGGGGCTCCCGTAAGAGGGATAAGCAAAACATTCTTCTTAGGACACACACTTCACTAACGTAGCTCCAAAATCCTAACTAATCTTCAAAATATACTTTTGTAGCTTTCCCCGTCTACAACGGGAAGTCGACTAGATATTTGTTCTACGAAAGAACATGTCATGATCCCAATTGTTGCACCCCAAAATTTGCCCTCATAATTTCTTTTATCTGACTTAGGCTTTTGCATTCATCTGCATATATTCCATTACATCACTAACATAGCATACATTCACATTCAATAAAACATTTGAGGTTCAAAAGATCAGTGATTGTGCAAGCAGGGCTTTTACATTCTTTTGAGGAGTGCATATCAAATAAAGCTTGATGTTCCTGATTTTCCTTCTTTTAATGAAGGTGTGGAATTAGGATTTCTGTGGCTTCAAGAGGATCCTTCCCATTCAAAGGAAGATTAGGGTTTATATCCTATCATACTTGGGTTTATCAACGTTTTCATTGGATGTTCATTGGATAACAAGGCGTGATATAAGGACCGTATTGTGAATTCATTAAGATCAAGTCAGGTTGGTTCTCTTATTGTTTGTTACACAAGATTGATGAAGATCAAGGTATTGGATCCATTCTCTTATAAAGGACAAAGGGTGATATTAGGGACCATCATACTTCACCCAACTTCCCAAAAAGAGAAAATAGATAGG